AAACTGCCGTCAGCATTTCTAACTCAAAAATTTTCTCTGAACGTAAATGACGATATAAAATGGATAATGTGGAAAAAAGGAGATAGAACCGATATACAGCGTATATCTGGATCTGTCTCTGATCTTCTTCAATGTTTGGACGATCGATGGGAACATTTTTTGTGGCACAGCTTTGTAACATCAGCCCAGTTTGACTATATAAAAAAGTTGAAAGAAAATGTAGATCAAAATGAAGCTATCATTCAACTTGATTTTGCTGAAAATTTCACGCTTGACGTGCAAAATGAAGTTCAAAGTAAACACTGGTCAAAATCTCAAGCAGCCATTTTTACGGTTCATGTAAAAACGTTCACTGAGGTAATATTTCGAGATTTTCTGACATCAGTCAGTTCTGGGTTTTTTGCTGTTTAGACTATTAGCCTGGCAATTTTATCTGACTATATGAGCCACGATACTGCCTTTGTACATTCAGCACAAAAAATGATAACTGATTTTGTGAAATCTGTCTATCCGTTTATTTCTAAAATTATATATTTGAGTGATGGATGCGCCTCTCACTTTAAAAACAACTACAACATGATTAATCTATCCTTTCATGTAGAAGATTTTGTTTTGACTGCTAAATGGGTTTTTTCAGTACATCCCATGGGAAAGGACCATGTGACGGTGTTGGGGCGGCTTTAAAATCAACAGCTTACTCACACACTATGCGCTCCACTGGCCCGGAAAATTCACTACTCTCACCACAAGAACTATACATATTTTCGAAAGAAAAATTTGAAAAACCCACTGCAAATGGTGAAAAATCTAAATTCGTAGTACTGTTTCTTGATGCAAGTACTGTTCAACAAAATTTTCAAACTATTCTCTCCCCTAGGTGGGATAACCGCCCTAATGCAGGTCAGTTACAGACCTTTATTCTTGAAATTAATTCTTAAATCCACGCTTTTCTTCTCCATAAATAGGTCCAATAATTGGAATTAGAGGCTTTCATGATTTTGAGCCCTTACCTGAGAGGAAGATGCGCTGTAAAAAAATATCAAATTTAGAGGAATCTGACGAATTTAGTATGATTGAACGAAAAGACACGAAGTATTTGAGATCTGTATTTTTTGTTAATGATGTGAATAAGGAAGATTTTGTTATTGTCGAATATGATTCTAATTGGTGGTTAGCTCAAATACTTGAATTGAATGAACTAACTCAAGAGTTACATGTTCTATTTCTTCATCCTCGGGGTCCACAATTAAAATTTGCATTTCCTAACAGACGCGATGAACTGCTAATTCCGGTGACTTCAGTTGTAGCCGCTCTACGTGAACAACCGAAGAAAACAGGAAGACGTGACCAAAAATATGAACTATCTGTTCTTCAAATGAATGATATAAATACTGTTTTCGAATCATTCTAAGTATTCTTGCTGTTCTTTTTTTTCTTTCCAAATAAACCAGAACTCTTGTCTATTTGTCTTAATCACTGCACGCGTGCATTGCTTGAAATTTCAGCCAATGGAATTTCAATTAAAACTTCTCTATGAATATATATTCTAAAATTTGCTTAGTGATTCCTTTTTGGCGTATTATGATTAATATCAGCTAGAATTAGACAATTTAGGATAAAAGAAACGATCTAGTCACAGTAGAAGTGAAAAACAGAGTAGAAAGCGACTTAAAATCATAAAGGGACGATCGATATTTTATGAATTTTGAGGCTGAAGATAACGATGAAGACGATGTTTGTCGAACAATCAACTACAACCATTTTGTAGAGCTCGATATTTTGATATAAAACAGAAAAAATTTTCGGAGAGTTTTTGAGATATATGAGCTCAAACTTTTCGTTTTTTTTCCGTAAATCGGTCACTGGTCAGAAACACCGATAGCTATCTGGCTAATTCTTTCGCTCTTTTACTTAGATTTCATACCTCTATATTTTCATCTACGGTAGTCAAGGATTCTATTTGAGTTTGAGAGGAAAATCCCAAAAGTACCCCTGAAACTTCGGACCTCCGAAAAACCATGTTCCACATGTTTTTTTGAAAAACAAGCCTAATGTTCTCGAGCTAACTTTTTATGCTCTAGACGATGCACGTATTGAAATCTTCGTGGCCCTGTGTCCTGTATAAAGTGGGCGGACCTGAATGGAAGTACCCTTTAGTGAATACATGAGATATTAGCAGATCAACGTAGATTTTAGAATTTCAAGAGCGTTTAGTCAAACACAAGAGACGTTAGTGAAATACACGAGATATTAGTACTACAAGGTGAGATTGAGTAGAGTCACTCTATGTTCTGGAAATTCCACAGAACTATGGAACGTTGCACCATGGGCATTCAACTACACGCTACCCGATCTTGACAATTTGAAGTACCCGTTATTTGACTTGAAAGAAAAGGTACTTGCAAGCATGTCGCATTTTATGCTTGAGAAGATTACAACGCCGCTTTACGGATTTCTTTCATTTAGCAACAATAAATGTCTTCTTGTAAGTAGCAAAACTAATCATTGGAAACGGCATTTCATAGGTCACGTTTTTAATTGCGACTCACCTTCTCGATAAAACGTTAAAAGCCCAAGTACGTTGCTAATACATCGTTTTCTTTAAATAATTTCTTGTGTATTTTACTAACATTAGAAAATTAGGCACTTTTGCCGCGCTGCACCAAATTAAGTAAAAATTGGGTGCTGTGTGCAAAATTTTTCAGTGAATCCGACAGCGGGTTCCTTATAATTCGGCGCCAATGAGAAAAATAAAATTTAGGCAAAAATCACGTAGATTATGTCGACACCAGAAAAAAATCAAAGTAGAATTATAAGGAACCCGCTGTCGGATTCACTGAAAAATTTTGCACACAGCGCCCAATTTTTACCAGCGCGACAAAAGTACCTAATTTTCTAATGAATCTCGTGAATTTGTAAACTCTAACTTAATACGCTAATATCTCGTGGATTTCACTAATATCTCCAGTATTTTGGTGATATCTATTTTCGTGAGATATCAGGCATCCCTCGTAATGTGACTGAATATCAAATGCTCTTTCAGAATTACAGTCGGCGTCAAAAGTATTTCGCCAATTTTTTCGTTTTGAGTCGTGTATTAAAACTTCACAACATTAATTTCATTTCATTATATGCCTGTGTAGCAGAGGTCAAGTACTATATATACACCTGTTTAGTATGAGAAACCCTTGAATATAAAATACAATAAAAAAATAAAACTTCAGTGCTGAGAAAAAAATGACATAAAAAAGTATTTCAAACATGTTTATTATCATTTTGCGTATTTTTGTTTTGCAATAGGCATTTGTTTATACAACTTCTACAATTTTTATAGAGTTTTCGATGGCGCATCTTTTGATTGTCAAGGATTCTATTTGAGTTTGAGAGGAAAATCCCAAAAGTACCCCTGAAACTTCGGACCTCCGAAAAACCATGTTCCACATGTTTTTTTGAAAAACAAGCCTAATGTTCTCGAGCTAACTTTTTATGCTCTAGACGATGCACGTATTGAAATCTTCGCGGCTGTGAGGTTATGTAATGGTGGGCGGACCTGAATGGAAGTACCCTAAAATCTCACCTTTCAGTACTAATATCTACTTACATCTAGCAACTTACATGCATCACATACATATCATCACACTATGTGAACTATAAAAACATTCAATTTTATTATTTTAAATTAAGGTAAATAGAAGTTTGTAGGGAATTGAATTGTGCATCATTTAAAAGAAATTTAAAGATTGTGTTGTTTGTCTGTGATGAGATATATGCAAAATAAAAATGTCGCAAACGTTTTGGACAACCGGTATTCGGCTTCATTCAATGGTCAAAAATAATTTCTCTTTGTCACTTTCGTGCGATGAATAGTCAAGAATCGTAGATGTCCTTACATTGGATGTTTGGAATGCAGGCTTCACTTCTATCTTTTAAAAGTAAATACGAGATATACGGGCAAAGACTTACTTTTAGGTACAACAACAATGACATCCTCAACCAGCACAACATCATCCACTTCTTCAACTACTAGCACCAGTACAACGACGACCACTACCATCTCCTCAAGTGCAACGACAATTACATTAAGTAAGCTAAATAGGTAGCTAAATTATCACCGATTAACGCGACAAGACGCGTTCTAGTTGTAAGAAAACACGTTCAAACGCGTCTTTTGTGCAAAAAAATGCGTTTAGGTGTGCGTTCAGTCAAAAAAAATGTCTGCCTGGGTTCCCCAAGGATAAATAGAAAACGAATATCTTTTTGTCGATCACGTCATGGTCGCCTTCCATAGTACGCAAAAAAAAACAAATCTATCATTGCTGAAATAAATCAGTTAAAGTTCGGAACAATTGTTTTCAAAAATATTATTTTAAAATTTCTTTTAAAGCAAGAGGAAACAGCTGTTATGTCATGGAGACCTAAGGAGATTATGTATTATCGTATGTTTACAATAGTGAGTTTTCTCCTTCCTTCCTGTTTTACTAATGTCATATGTCTCGGTCAGTAGTATACGTCATACTATGTTCTGTTTTATGACGTCATTACTCTTCTTCTACATCTGTTTCTCGTTTACTCAACTATATGTAAATTTTATGTATAGTGCACGTAATTCAAAGGATGAACACTATTTTTTTTTCGACTAGTCATATGTGGTTGGGGATAGAACTCAACGAACTGAGCCGAAGCATGCTGCCATGTATATGCGTTCACCTTTGGAACTGGTTCTTGGAGGAGAAAATTTTACTTTAGCTGAAGAACCGACAATATTACAACAAACTGATTTTTCGAGCTCCCTTTCTGTTTTACAGCTTTGCTGCTTGTTTTCTTCATAATCAGTATGGAAAACTGAATAAGAAAACATGAATTCGATATCGTTTGCACATAACGTGGACTGAAAATTTCTGGATCCAGTGACGGTCGAGAAACTGGGCACTGTTCCGATTGTAAACCTATCTAGTTTTTTGGTTAACCGACAAAGGCATATTTGATATGTCGCTCGAACATCAGGAGAAACGCTACGTATCGTTTTCTCTCCTATCTTAATTTCATGCTGAGAGAAACCTGAAGCGAAAAAGTCCGACTTATAACGGGTGAGTCGAAAGTTTCCGGACAAAATGTTTATTCATTTTTGACCCGCTTGAATGTATTTCAGACGAGTCAAAAGCTATGGGTTAGGACCAGAATTTGATGCTCTTTCAGAATATGGACTCAGAAATCTTTTGTCTAATTTTGCTCCAGAGTAGTGAGGAGATCTTTGACAGGTCTAAAAAATGAGTTTGGACGGAAATTTTTTCCATACGTTTTCATATTTTCACTATTGGAATCCGAAACTAAAATTTGGAACGTTTGTTAATATATCAGCTTGTCAAGCAAAATCTGTCCTACAAAATTTACTATTTGAGTTAGTTTTTGTCTACCATTGGCATCTCAATTTTCGTTTTTCTTACACCCTCATTTTTGGAAAATCGACTTTTTCATCAAAACCGTTTTACATAGAAATAAGCTCCTGGCAAAATGTCTACAGCATCACTTGAATAAAAGCTACAGCTTAGTTCAAGGTCACATTTTGTAAAGAATTGTTTGCTCTAAAAAGCTACTGAATCGGACAATTTTTAGCATCTTTGCAAAGGGACGTATAGGGGTTAGCAAAAACCTGCTGGTCGTCGTTCAAACTAATTTTTTAGGCCTGTCAAAGATTTCCTCACTACTCTGGAGCAAAATTGGATAAAAAATTTCGGAAAGAGCATCAAATTCTGGTCCTAACCCATAGTTTTTGACCTGTCTGAAATACTTTTAAGCGGGTCAAAAATGAACAAATATTTTGTCCGGAAACTTTCGACTCACCCGTTACTCGTAATTCTCAATTTTTTCTAACAGAACTCAACTTTCATGCAACAGAAATATCATATTCAGAATCAGGATCAAAAACTGAGTCGACTACTGCGTATTTCGAAATGCTCAGTCAATTTTCATTTTTGGTGAAAGTCTCCATAATTTTTCAACATGAAAATTCGACAAACACTAAAGTAGACGGAAAGGACAGAAATACACATTAGTCGACTCAGTTTTTGATCCTGATTCTGAATATGATATTTCTGTTGCATGAAGGTTGAGTTCTGTTGGAGAAAATTGAGAATTACGAGCGTAAGTCGGACTTTTTCGCTTCAGGTTTCTCTCAGCATGCAATTAAGATGGGAAAGAAAACGATACTTGACGTTACTTTCACTGGATCCAGAAATTTTCAGTCCACGTTATGTGCAAACGATATCGAATTCATGTTTTCTTATTCAGTTTTCCATACTGAATATGAAGAAAACAAACTGCAAAGCTATAAAACAGAAAGGGAGCTCGAAAAGCAGTGTTGGTGTAATATTGTCGGTTCTCCAGCTAAAGTAAAATTTTCTCCTCCAAGAA